GTGAATGCAATTGCTTTCCTGATTTCTTTTTTGGTTGACTTATTATGGGTATACAGGCATGCCACTGATGTTTTTATGCTGGTTTTGTATCCTGTCACTTTCATGAACTAATCAGTTATAAAAGCTTTATGGTAGAATTTTTGGGGGTCTGCTCCGTGAACAATAACATCATTTATAAATCGAGATAATTTGCCTTCTTATTTTTGCTATTCATATCCCTTTTATTTCTTTCTCTTGTGTGATTGTTGTGGCACAAGTTTCAAGTGTTATATTGAATAAGAGTCATGAGTGAATACCCTTGTCTTGTTCCTCAGTTTAGAGGAAATGCTTTCAGTTTTTCCCATTATATATTATGTTGGCTATGGGTTTGTCATATATAGCTTTTATCAGTGAGATCTTCCTATACCTATTTTCATCATGACAGGATGTTGGATTTTGTCAAAACTTTTTCTGCATCTATTGAGAAGATCATGTGATTTTCATCCTTGATTATATTTATATGGTGTGTTACATTTATTGGTTTATGTATGTCAAATAATCTTTGTATCCCCAACATGAAAGCAATTTGATCATGGTGTTGTTGAGTTATGTGTGCAAGGTCTTACTGAGAATTTTAGCACCTGTGCATTAGATCCAGCCAATCATAAACTGAAACCTCTACAAACTGTGAGCTAAATAAATCTTTAATCATGGATGTTGATTTTATCTCAGCAATGAGAGAAAAGTACCTCAGAATCCTGGTTTTGGTATTGAGGTAGTATTGGCTTCATAGAATGACTTTTGATGCCTTACTGAAGAGACTTTCAGTTGAATTTTTTTATTTGAGTGATTGAAGTTTCACTTTCAGGATTTCTGCTTCTTTTTCAGAACTTCTCTCTCTCTCTACAAAAGTGGACTTTCATAATCTGCACTATATTCTTTGATTCTTGCAGCTGTTTATTTGATACATATGTAATGGGTTTAAAAACAAGGAAGCTGAGAGTTCTGATCAACTTTGCATGTCAGACCACAGAGAGTACTCCATTCAACATACGACTTAATGATCCTTTAGTAATTGATTCATTCATCTGTTTACTGTCTCTTCTTTTATCTCACTGATCATTTTAACTATCAAGTTTTTAAAATATCCTTCTAGAATTTCTTCCACTTTAGTTTCTGTTGTATGCGCTTTTAGGGAAGTATCTTCTTGCCTTGTATGTTCATGATTATCGTATTTTTGTGTTGAAGAGCACAATTTAGATGGAAATCTCTAGCACTGTTGTGTGGAGATCTTTTTAGTAAATAGCTTTCTTTCTGTGATATGTCATTGGTTCTGGGTATGACTCAGCACAGAAGTACCCACTCAGCCTATTTAAAGTACTATGTTAAGTTCATAGCACAGCATTGCAAGATAAAACTGCCAGTAATATAAGAATTCATGGAACCAGTCATATGTCAACATGTAATGTAACACTTGCTTTAAAGATTTTGTACTATTGAATTAGCACTGAAACATAAAGGAATAATAATGATGTAGATTAGGCTAGGGAAAAACATAAAGAAAATAGTAACAAAAAGAAAAACAAAAACAGGTTTTAGTTATAATAGGACTGTTTGTACTGAGTTCTTGGTCTCACAATATTGAAGAATGAAATGATCAGTGAAAGGAGATAGTTAGGAGAGTTTTATTTGAAATAAGAATAGCTCCAGCATTTTCAGGAAGGGTTTTGAGTGGGCTGACCACATGGTCCCTCAATCTCAAACTACTTAGAGATACACAAATCACAGAAATCATCCAATTGTTTAGTGGTCCCTGTTATAGATGGCTCTCTGGATGAATAATGACCAATTAGAATACAAGCTCTTTAACTCAGTTTATAAATATAAAGGGCCTAGGGGAAAAGTGATCATTTTGCATTTTAAATTTCTCAAAACTCAGGAGCTTAGTAGGAAGTGGCTGTAACTCTCTTTAGTAGGGAGCAAGCTACATTCCACTTTGCCTGAAGATGTTTACCCTTTGTCCAAAGTCTACATTTGTTGTCCATTTTAAATTTACTTCTTATCAATATGGCTGGTTACCCAACCTCTGGCTCAGGCTCTCCCCCTAGCTACCTGCTTTACTCATAGGTAAACTAAATTTGATATTCTTTATAATAATATTTATATAGCAGGAAAGAAACGGGGAGGAAGGAGACTTTTGAGAGGTTATATGAAGGGAAGGAATAAAAGAAGAATAGGAAGAGAATATAAAGTGAAAGTGAGAGAAAATAAAAGGAGATTGAATCCAGTTAAGGAATTGTCAGGAACCCCAAGGAAAAAATGCTTGATGGAAAGCAGCATAAATTATAAAACAAAGTCACACACCATTGAATAAAGTGCAGTGACTATAATACATTACATGGTTTTATACACACAAAGACTGTCACACTAAAAGAGAAAGAAAAATAATAAATTTTAATGATAATATTTACATGCATAAAAACAAGAGGAGAAAATAATATTTAAGATGGTATGAGAGTTTAAAGAAAGAAAGAAGAAACAGGGAAGGAATATAATTGGAAAGTGAAAGAAGACATGTGAAGAATATCTCCAATTAATGAAGCAATAAAACTAGAAATTTAACAAACCCTATGAAATAACCCCTAATGCAAGAAATCATGATGTTACATGGTGAGACATTGTAGAAGGGCAAGCAATAACTTGCACTCATAAACACTTGTATATACCCATATATTCCCAGGCACATGCAAAATGGAACACACTCACAAAAAAGATCCAATTCTTTGATTCTGCTTGGTAAAAGGGTGGTGTATATGAACATCTTTTGCTTTTTTTATTTCAGAATTCTTTTCTCCCTCTGTCCAACTAGGAAATCCTCATTTAGAGAAGGTAGGAAGATGAATGAGTTCTGCCCCTCTGTGGCTGTCATTGAGTTGTGAAGTAGATTTGCTAGTGGCAGGACTGGCCCATACCTGCTGAATTAATCTCTTTCATACCTGGGAACGAGGCGATCAGAAAATCCAAGCTGTTTATTAAATCTGTCACTTACATAATCTATGGGTAGTTCTGAAGTGTAAGCCAAAGCTTTGTAAATTTTCATTCTCCAGATATGCCTTTGGAGGCCTGGCTGTCTGGTAACTGCATATTGCCATATTAACCGTGAATACCTCTAGCAAGATTGAAAAGGATGAGTGCATAGGGTCAGTGTTTGTATCAGGGGTGGCAGGTGCTTAGTCTTCTGATGGTTTCTGCAGAAGAGACTCTCCCAGACCCAGATTATCCCCCACTGCAAAATCCATATAGCGAAACTCACTGTCTGGCACTTTACTCAAAACACCAATGTTTTACACTGTCTTTTCAGTTGCCTCTTATATTCTAGCCCAGAATCGTATTTCTTGTGAGCCAGGGACTGAGGTGTTTCTGCTGATTTTTGGAGTTTAGTTTTACTGTTGTCACAGTCACTTTTCTCCTGGGCCCAAACTATGAGGGCATTTCCTTTCTGTAGCATGGTGCATTTGTGTCTTCAGTTTATGGAAAATCTGGAGATTTTGTGAGAGTAGGCAGAGGGGATTACTCAGGATGCCTTTCAGGACTCAAATCTACCTTTGTCCATCCCCTACTAGCTCTTCCAAGGCAAAGGTTAGAGGAGCTTCCAACATGACTCCCAAGCTGACCATGTGCAAATCACAGATGTATTCTGGAGACATGCAGAGAATTTTGGAATTATAGATGGGAGACAACCTGAGTGGAGTCATGAGAGAATGAATGTGTCTTGTTCCTAGATACTGTAATGCAAGTGTCCGTATGCAATTGCTAGAGAAAATAAAACACAGGATTTGTAAACATGTACTCTTGGAAGTGTTTCTTTCATCTGAGCCACATATTGCCAAGTGCAAATTTTCAGTTACCAGGTCATTTCCTGACTTCTGGCCTGTCCAGCCTCCTCCCTAGGGATCTCCTAGCCTTTGCAAGTTACAAAGAAATAGAGGTGTTAGGGCCACTCAGCCTCCAAAGCAGAGCAGAGTGCACCTATTTATGGATCCCAAGATTTGTCATTGTCATTTTAAATACTTAATTATTTTCCATTTATTTCAGGTTGCTTATTTTACTATCTTAAAAGATCTGCATTGTGTCTTTTCCCACATTATAAATCTATAACATTAGGAAATATGTTTATATTAGCAGAGATTAAATTCTAGTGGTTTTATATTTATGTTTCCAAACAAGCAAGACACTTAGAAAAATATAACTGCATTAGAACTTAAAATTTAGTTGTATATAATACTAATAAAAATTCCCTATCAGTACATATATTTCCTAATTTACTTTATGGAGTTTCATAAATACATCTTAAATGTTTATTTGATATGCCTCTATAAACCGTGTAAAATAATTTTCCTCAAGGATAGTTAAAGTAGTTGGGTAAGTGTCACTACACTGTATTTAATTCAACTGCATATAGAAAAAAATTGCTATTAGCATTTCATTGGGATGAATTATGGCTAAATTTATCTTAAACATTTGATATAATTTTGTCATTATTTTTACAAGTCAGAGTTCTCTGGGTTTATATTATTGGGTCAGTTGAAGTTTTACTTATTTTTAGCTAAAAGGACAACTACTCATAGTCGAGAGACTAGGTTTTGATTTGGTTGCTGCTCTCCAATGGCAGAATGCCTTGGGATATCCACTCAGGTAATGAATATAAGTAGTGCTATCATTATTACTATTTTAAACACTCATAGTTGGCAGGAATGTGCTAAAGTCTGAATATAACATGGTAAATTATGTCAGTCTTCCTGTCCAGGGCAACTGCAACTGAAAGGACATCCTCATATGATGAGGGAGGAGACAGAAACAGTCATTTGTACCTAAGTGTTACTTTGCTCGTGACTCACAGAAAGAGCTTTAGGATGTTGCTTATGTTTTCTAAAGAGCATCTGGCAGTTTTCATCTTGCATATAACTTCCCGTATAAGATTTTTATCCCATTTTTACGCTTATTATTGTATCTCTTTTTAGTTTTCCTCACAGGAGAAAATGCCAATTCAGTATTAAAACGCTATCCAAGAGCTAATACGCTTCTTGAAGAAATCAGACAGGGAAATATTGAACGTGAGTGCAAAGAAGAAGTTTGTACATTCGAAGAAGCCAGAGAAGCTTTTGAAAATAATGAAAAAACTGTGAGTATATTGGCAATTTTTAAATATTCTCACATATACGCCTACCTTTTTATTGGGAATCTGCATTCCCAAAGTGTGTGCATTCCTGTCAATTAAAAGTTACTTTTATGAAAAATTCTGAAAGTACCAGCTAATATTTCTGCACAGGAGAGATGGTTTACTCTTTGGGGGCTGGTTTTTTCTTTGAGAGCACTGTTTCCATAAGATTTTGCTGAGTTTTGATGTACCATCTTGGCAAGGGAGAGATTTAGTTCACATAAGGCTGTGATTTGGATAGTTTATAAATGTCCTAACTTTACTATGCCCAATGAGAGATGAAGAGTGAAGGAAGCCAACAGAAATGGACAGTGTTTTTGCAAGGTTCATTTCTTATACAAAAGAATGAACACGTCTGAGCGTCTTCCCCCACCCCCTCCATGTGGATACTCCTTTTCACCTCACTACACTATTTCAAGGAGTGCTATTCAAGGAGAGCAGGGGTGGGAAAACACAAAGCAGGCATTTAAATTCCATACTTGTCCATACTTTGTCCCATAGCTGTAAATTACATTTAGAAGCACCCATTGTCTAAGGATCCAGTCCTGTGCACCATGAAATAATATTAGATTCTAAACAAATGATGTCCAATGTATGTGTCAAGAGCAATAAATGCACAAGAGTTTTTTTAAAAAGAGGTTTTGATCTTCTAGTAGGTAGAGAATACAGCATGGGTAACACAAAAGGAGCTACAGGAAAGATGCTCATAAAACACAACTGCTAGATTCTAGTGTGAACAACAAAATCAAAATCAGTTTATAAACTGATAAGCTGTGAGTTTACTCGGTTTTGCAGATTAACATGGAGTTTAACTGTTGTGTGTATTTTCTAAGCTATGGATCTGATTTTCCACACGGTTACCCAGTTGTCCAAACATCATTGAACAGGGCTAGAGATTTAGCTCAGCGGTATAAGCGCCTGCCTTGCAAGCAGGCAGGCATGAGTTCCATCCCTGGTACCGATAAAAAGGAAAAAGACAACAAAACAAAACAAAACAAAACAGAACAAAAAAAAACATCGTTGAACAGAAAACTCCTCTTCCCCATAGTTATTTTATTTATCTCTTGCTAGGTACCTAAATTCCTTATGTGCTTAGTCTATTTCTGAGCATTGTAGTTTAATGAACTGAGCCATCTTTCTGCTCAAAAGCTAGAACCACACTGTTTTAATTACAGTGGATATGTAGTATGTCTTAGTGTGAATTATAATTACTTCATCCCAAAATGACCTTTCTTCAGTGGTTTTTGAGCTATTCTTGCTTGCTAATTTTTGCTTATAAATTTTAGTATTAACTCATGTGGCTCCAGAAAGAATAATGTTTTGGTATGTTTTCTGGGATAATTTTCAATTTGTAGCCCTTCCTAAAAAAACCTACTCTTCCCATATAGCCTTTCTGGTCTCAGTGTGTAGTAGCTTTGTCCTTTCATTGGGTTGCTAACCTCCAAACTGATAGAATTTTTCGGCGCGAAAGGGAACTATTTGATAGGATTTTGGTGTGGCTGAAAAGGTAAGAAGTATGAAATAAAAGAGACCTTTAATTTAAGAATGTGGGGAGAGACCCCCTGACCCTCTGAGGTCTGGCATTCTTTCAGGGGTCTGGCATTCTCTCTGCCAGACACGTGGTGTGGGGACATACATCTAGCTTAGGTTTTGGGTGGTGCCTAAGGGGCATTAGTGATGCACAGGTAGCCCATTGGTATTCATTTGGCGCCACAGGTAAATTGCCTAGGGGCCGGAATTGAGACCTCAAGATAGAGGCCCTTGGTTCCACCTCCCAGCTTCACCAGTTACAGTGTCCTGTCTGAGGCAAAAACCTTTCACAAACCTAATTATCATTCATGATTCTTCCTTCTTTTTGTATTCTACATCCCACTTGCAAGTAGTTGTCTCTGTACAGTCTCATTTCAGCCTTTTAGTTACTTCTTTACATCTAAGTCATCTTTCCCTCTCATCCATATTTCTTGGTTTCTTATCCCATAACTCATTCTCAGAACAACAGGCTGTAGTGAAACTCTAAAATCTCTGCTCATCCATGTGTGGTAGGGCACAACCATAATTCCAGCACTCTAGGCAGCTGAGGCTGGGGCTCATATGTTTGAGCCCAGCCTCGGCAACTTAGTGAGACATTGTCTTAAATAAAAATAACAAGTTGGTCTGAGAATATAGCTTATATGAAGGCCCTTGGTTCAATTTCTACTACCACAAAAGAAAAGAGACAAGAAAAAAACAAGACAAAATGCAGGAAAAAATCTCTTCTCCATAACAGTTTCCTTATTTAGCAAATGCCAAAATGCTCAGAATTATGTACAAGAAGACACACAATCATCTCCACCCCACATTTCCACTTGTCTACAGTTTTTTCTCTTTTGTTCTTCTTTTTTCATTACTTTTTTTTGAGACGGAGTCTCACTATTTAGTTCAGGCTGCCCTTGAACTCACTATCTAGCCTAGGCTAACCTGCACCTTGTTGCCTTCACCATCTTCCTGCCTCCACCTCCTGAAAGCTGGAATTATAGGCATACACCACCATTCCAGAGTGCCTCAGTTATTTCTTTATCTCATCTCCTATAACATTCAACTCCATACTCACTTTGTGGTAGCTTTTTAATATCTGCTTGCACACATACAACAGCACATGCCTTGCCATTATTGGCTTTGGTGCTTCCTCTTTCCTTTTCCAGATGAAAATTTGTGAGCTCACTGATCATTTTCAGTTTTTTGTTCTAGTTCACTTTCTCAGTGAAGAAGTATCCTATCTGAAATTGCAAACTTGAATGTCTTACATGAATTATTTTTCTTCCCAGTACTTTTTACCATTTGACATCCATTTGTTGTATTTGTTAATTGCTGTCTGTCCAGGATTGTTAGCTGTACTGCAGCAGCATTTTTGTTTCTTTGCTCATAGTTATGGTCCCGAAGAATGCCAGCATATAAAAGGGACTAAATAAATATTTGATGAAGGGATGAACTAATGGGTTGGCATACTGCAAAATACATTTAATGCATAGGAAGAAATGATTTAAAACTTGCTCATAAGTTGGCTGAGAGATGTGGACTTGAAAATGGATTTTATTATGTCCGTGTCATATCTGTTACTTTCTTTAAGTCTGTCATCCAACTATACTCATGCCATTAAAACCAAACCATTTACAGTAAGGTGTGTTTGACAATTTTTGACCTGAATGTAATAAAATCGGCACTCACATTCTTTGCTTTAGAATAACTATTTAAGATTGTTGTTTGCTTTATGCTAATAAAGATGTAGTATTGGACAACGCAGTTTCATTTTAATCTTGGCAGTGAAGAAAATGAATGAGATTTGAGAAGTTATTTTCACTCTTAGATTTTGTGTGTGTGTGTGGGGGGGGGGTACCGGGGCTTGAACTCACAACCTCACAATTGCCGGGGCAGGTGCTTATGGTGCAGAGCTCACCCCCCAGCTTAGATTTGTTATTAAATTTTTTTAATAAGTTTTATCATTCAGAACAGGCTTCTTCATTCTCAAAGTGAACTATGTAAATTTAGTAGCCTGTTTTCAGTAGAATATTTATTTGTAATGCTTTATCTAATTTGGAACACAAGTATAATGATACAATGGGAAAATGTGTTATTGTGCTTAATACTCTTCATTTTAACATGGGCCAGAGTCATTCAGGTGTTATCTGGTGAATATCTGCTTTATAATACATACAAGATATATAGCAGCATATCAGACACCTCTCCTTTTGTGGCATTTGTGATCTGGTAGACACAGCTGACATACACACAAAGGTCCATTTTAGCATTTTGTGCATTTTAAATATAAACAGTATTTATTTATCATTTTCACCTCAGTAAATCTTTAAGAGACAAAAGCAGCATTCTCTTTGAATACCAATCCTCTTTTTCAGAATTAGATTGATATGGTTTGGTGTCTCACCTCTGCCACCTGCTGACTACACTGCTTTGTGGTTTATTTATATTTTTATTTTAATGAGATTAAGATAAAAGAGGACAGAACAAAACAGAACAGAACAGAACAATGTACTATATGCTTTGTAATAAACATTTCACTTTCACAGGCCTCAACTTAGGATCTTTTATTATGGAGCATTAGTTCTAATATTATGCTCTTAACGTAGTGCGTAGCAAGGTAAAAACTTTCAATACATATAGTTTATTTTAGTTTTTAGGATCTGTGTTATAGTCATTTTCTTAGGAGTTATTTAATCATGCTCAATTTTTTTTCGTTATGTGACCATGAAGGTTCTCTGAATTTTGGAGCTTTTAATATTGAATTACCATGAAGAAAATAGTAGCAGATCTTTAAAACCAGTATTTCAGAAGCTTCACAAATAGGGTTATTCTGCATGAGTCCCAAAACTATTATCTTCAAATTTCAGAATGCACAGTAATTAGGTGTTTTTCAAGCCTGCATAGTTCCACATAGCATGCAGATTTAGTTTTTTCATACTATTTTACAATAAAAGTAACCAGAATTCTTTGGGGGTAATGGTTGATTGTAGGGTGAGGGCATGCTGTATTACCAGAAAGTAAGAAAACTGTAATACAACAGCAAGGAATACAGGCATGTCAAAGGGACTCAGGTACCAACCCAAAGAGGCCTTTAATGACCAAAACTGAACAGCTGAAGTGAACAAAAATCAATAATGTAGCATGAATTATAATGTGGAGCATGAATAAAAGCAAGTGTAAAATATTACAAATGAAAGAATGAATAAGAAAACAGACAACTCAATAGTACAAAAAATCAAATTATGTAAGTACTCTCTCTTCCAGGAAGTAAAACTTAATTCTCTGTCTTCTTTGAAAGTAGCTTGAATTTAAAGATCTGCTTGCAAAGACAAGAGTATGGAAAGGGAAAAACCTGATAAACACTTCCATGACTGGATAATCAAGTTTAGCATTATAAAAGATGAATCCTATACATGATATGCATAGAAGACACTTGACTTCTGTGGTAT